TGGAGAATTAACGATGGAACGATGACAAAGATGATTTCTTTTTTCTTCTTTCTCGACAATGAAAAAATACGAGACGCTGTAAAAGGGCTGTAAAAAGACGATAGCTCGATTGCCAAACACACGAAATCAGCATTCGTGGTCCGTACTAATTATACCCCCGGCGCGATACGTTTATTCACATAGACGAACGCGTGATCACGCAAACGCCTCGAGGGTTATATTAATCCCCGAACATCGCTGGCAAGCGGTTCAGTGTGTTTCTGGCCGTTGTTTTGTCTTAAGTTTGCCCGCCACCATCTTGCTCTCAGCAAGGAGGAATTCGAATTCGCATTCGAATTCTTTCTCAAAACAATTATTCCTGGAGAAAAATTTGCAATCAAGTCTCCATCTTCAAGATCTTCATCTCTGAGGAAATTTTGAAGAAGAATCGGTGATTGATTCGATCGGAGAATCCAGATTCAGAAATTGAATAAAAGTGGAAGCAGCAGTTCGGGAAGGATCAGTGTCTCGATTGATTTATATAAGGCTTGTCGGATCGGGTCGAGATTGGTTGTGGAGGAAGATTAACTTGGAGGGGAATCGTAGTTGTCGGGTGGAGGATCGGAGGAGGAATTAGGAAGTGGATCAAGAAGCGAGCGGAGCGATGACACGATGCTGTCGATCTGGACCGCGTCGACACTGTCGATTGCCTGCGGCGAGCCCTTCAAGTTCAAGCCTTCTATGCGACGCTGTCTTAGCTGTTCTTCTCTCGTCGACGGTAAATTGTGATCGAATTTCGATTACACCAGGAACAGTGGTTGCCAACCTTTCGAGAATCCCTAAACGATTTTAGGGAAAAGTGATTGTTAAAAATAAAAGATTGAAACGATTTTCAATAAGACAATTTGCCGATTTCCCAACAAGAATGATTGAAATATTCTTGTCTCTTGTTACTCTTACGATCTTTTATTTGCGATTATTTATTTATTCACGATAATTGTGATCGAATTTCGATTACGCCAGGAACAGTGGTTGCCTTTCGAGGATCCCTAAACGATTTTAGGGAAAAGTGATTGTTAAAAATAAAAGATTGAAACGATTTTCAATAAGAGAATTTGCCGATTTCCCAACAAATATTTTTGTCTCTTGTTACTCTTACGATTATTTATTTTACCAGAATTGTATTTGTATCGTATATCGTTATGAAAATATCGATCCTTTCGGTTGGTTAATTAGAAAGGAAGAAGAACTCTTATTAAGAAGTCATTTGACGGTGGTTAAAAATATCCAATGTTAATTTTTATGATGATTGTTCTAATATGATTATAACGTGAATACCGCCTCGAGAATAGAGTGCGTCTTATATATATATATAAATAATGTTTGAATTAAAAGACTAATCGTTTGTTTAATTGCAGGCCGGTTGGCAGCAAAGATTGCGCGCAAGGAGTCGCTGTCCCTGAAACTCGCCCTCAGGCCAGACAGGCAGGAGCTCATCAACAGGAACATCCTTCAGCTGCAGACGGACAATGAGAGGCAGGAAACGAAGGAGGCAATTGGTGCCAAGCTCATCAGGTGAAGAAATATTCTTTCTCTCTTTCTTTCTTTCTTTTCTTTTTTATTTGAAATATACGAATCGTTAAAAATATTGATCGAAATCATATCTGAATATGACACCAATGGGAAAATGGAAAGAAAGTAGAGAATCGTGGTGTTCGTATCTTCATCTGAAATTTAAAGATCTTAATAGGATATAAGCAAGGTTAAATAGGAGGGACGTGTAGGCGAGGTAAAAGGTTTCGTTAAAAAATTAAAGGGCGTTCGAAAGTTTGGTTGTAAGAAAAAGGAGGAAGCTCTATAAAGTCTGGTTAAATAAAAGGGTAAGTTCGTAAGTTAATTAAATTGTCTTGACAAGGGAATTATTTTTTAGAAATGAATTAAATTAACTTGAACTTTGTAACTTGAATAATTATTAAAAAATTAGATATCATGATATACCTTAAAAATATCTCGTTAAATCGTAATTTGTTTTTGTTTCGTTTAAAATGAATAAAAAAAGGATGATTAAAAGGTGACGAAGAAAAAGCACGATTATTCGAATACGATTTATCGATCATACTTGGAGATTTTACTTTCTTGGAAATTTCAAAAGAAGAAACCTTCTCTGATTATTAAAAAATCATACGTTGAAATAAATCATGAAATCTTCCATCGAAGATCGTTGAAACCTTCGATAAACCCTATCTCTTCGCTTTGTCTAAGATAAATAAAAAAAAAAAAGATAATTGAAAGATAACGAAGAGCGATCATCCGCATTATTTCCAGATTATTTTTTTTTTCGAAAGAAAACTTAATCAAAGATTAGACATCGTTAAATCGTTTAAAATAAATAAAAAGACAATAATGCGGAACAAACGCGACCCTGGAATTCTGATCATCTACCTCGTGGAATAATCGACGTCTCCACGCGTAGAAAAGCCAAAGCCTGAACTGTCTTGCTTTCCTAAATTTAGAAATTAACCAGGAACGCGGGAGGATTTGTTTCCTCGATCGCGTTGTGCGTGCGACCAGGTCGAAGAGGTCGTGAATTCCACCGATCGTGACTCACGGTTCTCTGAATGGAGGATATCAAACAACGCGTGTGCGCGTAATTTCGAACGTCCTTGAACGCACACACGTCCATCCTATTGATTTTCCTTCGAAGAGGGGGGTTTAATCATTCATACGGGTGGATTAAAATGGGTTCTACGTTGGCGGCCCGATGTTGATGGAAGAACACGTAACACGAGTGTTCGATTTGTTTGTTGAACCGATCAAAGAGAGAGAGAAAGATGTAAAACGAAATTGCAATTATTCGCGTTTTCACTTTATTATATGCGCGAGGAAGTGGCACAGCATAGCCAGTGCTTGACGCAATAGTTGTTGTTATCGAAGGCCTTCCGTCTGTGTTATTAGAAGTGGAGATAAATTTAGATCACGCGCTATATATTTTGTCTGGAGAATTTGTTTGGAAGATTGGCGGATTTTTCGCGTACACGTGTTTGTTGTTGTGCTTTTTGGATCGCGCGAATCTTTCACGATTTCTATTTAAAAAATCTCATTTTTGGATATCTTGGATATCATCATTTTATTTAGGGGAATTTATCTTTTTTAAGGGATCAAAGAAAAGAAAGAAAGAAAAATTAGATGTATAATCTATTTGAGAAATAAATTTCTTTCCTATCCAATAGGTTTTTAATACTCTTGAAAAAAAGTTTTTACGTATAATAATAATAATAATTTCCTTAAGCCTTCTCTAAGCTTCTCTAAGCTGGCTTCCTCTTCAAATTCTTTCTCTAACAAAAGCATCTGTTCAATGTTATGTTGACGTCTGAGAAGCAAGTAATACTCGTAGAATCCGTGGAGAGACAGCTGTCACCAGGAGGAGATTACATCGGATCACGGGCAGACAGTTGACCATTCGCATATTTGCGAATCGTTCGCGTGGATTTTACACTCCCCCTCGACCCTCCCTTCCCCTTTGAACCGATATCGAGAGAAAATCGGCTTACGAGCGTATTATAGAGTTGAACTGATTTCGCGTGGCGTTCTTGTTTCAGGCGGCTGAGCATGCGACCGACCCAGGAGGAACTGGAGGAACGAAACATTTTGAAAAGTAAGCTCTCCAACGAGTTATTCTTCGAAAAACAATCTTTCCTTCTCGATCGACTGAAATCGAATATCGACGTGTCTACACATAAGCGCGATACACATGAGATTTCTCCGATGTTTTTGGAAATTTTCAATTTTCTCGAGCGCGCGATAAAAATACCGGGGATATAAAATACGATGTAAGGTAAATCTATTTGCAGAGCAAAGTCCTGCAGAGGAGAAGAAGCAAAAAGAGGAGAAGAAGCGGTATCTGCTTCGAAAGCTCAGCTTTCGACCGACGGTTGAGGAGCTCAAGGAGAAGAAGGTATATCTTTTGCTTTCTATTTTTTTTTTTTTTTAAGGAATAAAAATATTTGAAGGAAACACAGAACGAAAACTTGGATTTTTCTTTCCCCGAATCAGATTATCAGGTTCAACGACTACATCGAAGTGACGCAGGCTCACGACTACGACAGAAGGGCCGACAAGCCTTGGACGCGGTTAACTCCTAAGGACAAGGCAGCCATTAGGAAGGAGTTGAACGAGTTTAAGAGTTCGGAGATGGCCGTTCATGAGGACAGCCGACACCTCACCAGGTATGCCTGCGAGATCGTGATTCGATTTCTACCTTTCCCTCGTTTCCAACCTCGAAATAAATTTATTCACCTCTTGGAGTGAGAACTTCGACGAATGAAACTTTTAAAATAAAATAAACTATGAAAAGGATGAACCAAGTGTTGTGAAACGAAATAAATGAAAAAGATTTTCATTTTCATTCCATGATGGGGATGGAAATTTATTTCACAAATCTTTTCAATCACGATCGACCACACGCCAACGAAATTCCAACACCAACTATAGGATATATACTCGACATCCCTTAGAATATCTGTATTCTCCTCGGTTTCAGGTTCCATAGGCCATGACAATTGCAATGTGTTGAGGTGCTACAGTGTGGTGCGGGTATAGGTGAAGGTGCAGTGTGGTGGCCTCGCGTCGAGGCTGGATAAAAAAGAAAAATTTAAAAAAAAAGAAAAAACCGCCCCCTCGGTTGATCGTGGCTACCGAGGGGTAGTTTCACGTGCCCGGGGAGGGGGGGAGGGGTTCGGTTACAACACTTATACTACCCGTTTTACGATAAATCGGGCGACGGTGGTTTCTTTTTTATGAAAAAGTTGCTGTCGACGTCGTGTTTTCATTCGTCGTCGTCGTCGTCGTCGTCGTCGTCGTCGTCGTCTTCGTTGCCCTCCTCTCGTCGTCATCGTGCCCATGCATCGCGTCTTCTCATCATCCTCCACCATCATTCGGGTCATCCGCCATCCGCCCTGACGACGAACGTCTTCTCCACGACGTCGACGAAGATTTGTGATATAGGGTGGCCCGTCCCATCGAGTTTAATTAAAACGAAAGGGGGAAAAGTATAAGGGAGAGGAAAGGAAGGAAAAAATAGACGAATGAATGAATAAAAATGAACGAACGAGGGAAGTCGCGTCGGGTCACTCGCTGATTTCTTAAAAAAAAGGCTCGTTCACACCTGAGCTTATTCCATAAATAATAAAAGTTCGTCCTTTTATCGTATATCGGAAAACCGTACATTGTCCAGCATGAATATCTTTTCGAGCAATTTTGCATTCTTTCGATGCCAAAAGTAAAAATAGAGATAAAAAAAAATAATAAGGATAAAAAGGGAGAAAAGAGTGGAATAGTATTATTTGAAAAATATAGAAAAAAAGGTTAGATATTTCGCAATTTATAGAGAATCAAAAAAAGCGTTGTTCTACTTGTATAATGAATAAGACACGTATTTTGTACGAGCGAAGTTCGCTTCGTTCAAGAACAAAAGGGTGGGAGGGAGAGGGGTTGATCGCTCTCGTTACACTCGACGTTGACGCTCCTCCTCGTCAGCGAAACTTTGCCGAAGTCAACTCTCTCAATAGTTTATCGTTAATTACACTTTTATCGAGATATATTTAATCGAGAAAAAAAAGAAAGAGACAAAGAGAGAGAGAGAGAAGTATGTTTGAGTATGTAAAACTTTCGGATAAATTTTAAGATAATATGCGAATTAAACATATGTAACACATTGGATGTAGCTAGATCGATGACAAACGATAGAAAGGTAGCGATGATCTATGAGGAGAATTCTTTAAATGATTCTTCTTCGTCGAGAAAATTTCTTTGGCGAAAAACAAAAAAAAAGAAGAAGAAGAAAAAAAAGGAATAAATAACATTATGGCGTGAGCTCTCGTGTGAACGAATCTTTCCATAGATTGTAAAACACCATAAAAAAATTCTCTTTTTGCCATCAAGCTAGCTCGTCAGTGTCACCTGGCATGAAACGCGTATACGTGAAAAAAAGAAAAAAAGAAAAAAACGATTCCTAAGAAGAAATGTTTTAGTCACCCTCACTTTAGCGCTCGTGTGTGATAATATCTTTGCGGATAGTTTGCAAAATACTCAAATTCGACGTGAGAAACGTGACATATGTGTGTATCACGATAAATGGATTAAAGAAAAAAGAAGAAAAAGGAAAGAAAGAAAAACGAAGGAAGAACGTACGTCGATAAGGAAGATTAATCGAGAAAAAAAGAAAGAGACAAAGAGAGAGAGAGAGAAGTATGTTTGAGTATGTAAAACTTTCGGATAAATTTTAAGATAATATGCGAATTAAACATATGTAACACATTGGATGTAGCTAGATCGATGACAAACGATAGAAAGGTAGCGATGATCTATGAGGAGAATTCTTTAAATGATTCTTCTTCGTCGAGAAAATTTCTTTGGCGAAAAACAAAAAAAAGAAGAAGAAGAAGAAAAGGAATAAATAACATTATGGCGTGAGCTCTCGTGTGAACGAATCTTTCCATAGATTGTAAAACACCATAAAAAAATTCTCTTTTTGCCATCAAGCTAGCTCGTCAGTGTCACCTGGCATGAAACGCGTATACGTGAAAAAAAGAAAAAAAAAGAAAAAAACGAATTCCTAAGAAGAAATGTTTTAGTCACCCTCACTTTAGCGCTCGTGTGTGATAATATCTTTGCGGATAGTTTGCAAAATACTCAAATTCGACGTGAGAAACGTGACATATGTGTGTATCACGATAAATGGATTAAAGAAAAAAGAAGAAAAAGGAAAAGAAAGAAAAACGAGGAAGAACGTCGTCGATAAGGAAGATTGATTTAGCTTTCGATTTAGTTGTTTAAAAATGCGTTAGTGTTTGAGATATTTTTATATGTTGACGTTTAAGTAAAAAAAAAAAAAAAAAAAAAAAAAAAGAGAAGAGAGAAAAAAGAAAAAAGAAAGAAAGAAAGAAAGAAAGAGGGGGGAAAAAATAGAGAATTATTATTATCATGAAGGGAAGAGAAAGAATTTTTTCAACGAAATATAAGCGAGAAACACTTCGTTGTCTTCTTTTTTTATCGACGAAAAATATATTTACGAACAAAAATTAAGGGAAAAAATACTTAAGAGAAAATAATACACAGACATTAGAGAATATAACGCAAGCTTGTGCGGTATAATGGCGGCTATTATGTGATTTATCGATATATAATTCCACGGACCGTGATTTTAATCGACATTTTTAAATCGCTAACCCGTTACGTAGTTTAATTATAATTAAGCATTGTTCCATTTTTATGCGCGGACAGAGGCGTGTTAATATCGAAATCGAAACAGTGTGCGAATAATATCTATGACAATCTTGTTCGAATTGACAAGACAAACTATTTTTCCTTTTTACTGCCAGGTATCACTATTTCTATTTGCGGAGCTGCCTTGAGGAGCAAACGCTTATTGACATATACTATAATACACACACACACACATACACAGACACAGACACACAGATAGAAACAGCGAAGAAAAGAAGAAGAAAGAGAAAAAGAAGTGACGTGGAGAGATAATAAAATATAAAACCTCATTTTCTCTCTCTCTCTCTCTCTCTTCTCTCTCTTCTCTCTCGCTCTCTCTGTTCTCGATGACACGATGAGAGAGAGAGAGAAAAAGAAAAAGTATTGGAGAAAGGAAGAAAAATGCAATTGTGCAATTTTACACATACACGTACACATACTTTGTACAGAAATAATATACATAGCGCGTATTTTAGTAGTTATTATTATTGTTATTATCATCACTGCGATCCTCGTTGATTTTCGATCACGCGTTTCGATCGTGGAAGCATCGATCTTGAAACAAAAAGAAAAAAAAAATAATATATATATAAATATATATATATATATAAATATTTGTCTACGAATATCAGATAGTTCTTCTAAAAATTGATCGAGTAGAGTAGAGAGAGAATCGGTGATTTGATTAGTTAAATACGTAGACATTGTAATTTAATCGGATTAGATCAAAAGAGAAAAGCGTTTTCTTACGAAAGAGGAGAAGAAAAAAAAAAAAAAAGGAAAAAATCGAGAGAATCGAAACGTGTTTCGATGTCTTGCACGCTTAATGCCCCTCCCCTCGAAGCTTCCTGTCTTTGCAGCATGTGATCGATATAAAGCTCGCGTGAATTCGCGTCGAAACCAAATCGAAAATTTTGGGGGAACTCGTCGAACCTATCCTCTGTTTCGATGAACTTCGTGTGATCGAGAAATGACAAAAAGAAAGAATCGAAGTCTGAGCTGAGATATATCGAAAGCGAAATTACTAAGATAACGATTTTTTAATTGTAATTTATTGGTAAAATATATTGAAACTCGTATCTATTCTATTTTATATTCGTACCATTTCTATTTTATACTTTTCTTTTAAAATAATTCGAAGATAAGAAGATATTAAAGTCGCGATTCGACAAAAGAATTAATAAAAGAAAATATCAGTAAAATAGTTATATCCAATTTTTCCGGTCAAGAAAATTTTCAAGAATTTTAATTTAACGTTTGGAACTCGATCCTACGAATCTCCATCGATATCAGGATAATTTAATTGTGCGAGTTTTCCGCTGCGGACGTAAGTCGTGACGGCGTGTCGATTTTCCTTCTAAAATAGTAACTTAGTTTTAACGATCGTCCAATGGGGTGAGAGGATCGGATGGTCGATCTCTCTCGTAAACCCGTAGGTGAACTCAGTTGTTCGATACTATAAGCAAAGAAGCAAAGAAAATTTAAAAGAGAAAAAGAAAAAAAAGAAAAAAAAACAAGAAAAAAAAGAAAAATGGAGTAAAAAATAAAAAAGAATTTTTCAACTTCGCGATCGAGAAGGTGTCGGGCAGAATGGAGAGGACGACGGTTCAGGAGAAAGTAGGAGGGAAATAGGGTGAAATACGAAAACTTTCTTTAAGCTAGAACCACGGAGACGCAGGTGATTAAAGGAACAATGTAAGGTAGGGAGATGAAGCGTCTCTCTCGTTCCATTGGTCGAGCGCTGTGGCTACCGTGTAGTCGAACAAATATATCCATTAATTTCCGGGTTGCCTGATGCGTGTTGTATGCATGTGTTGACACCGTATGCGTGAGAGTGTTTTAATTATATTCGAGAGAGTAGAGAAAATGCACGAGGGGAACGAGCGAGAGAGCAGGTCGTTGAAGATCGATAGTATTTTAGAGAAGAATTGAAAACGAAATTTTCTTTTTTTTTTTTTTTGAGGAGGAGGAAGAGCAGGAGGAGAAGGAGGATGAGAGTGAAAATGGGGAAAAAAGTCGAGGAGAGAGCATGGAACAAATGTGAAATTCTACTCGACGACGTTTTCTCATTTTCCTTTCTTTACTTTTTTCTTCTATTTCTTCTTTTTTTTTTTGTTTTTTATTTTTTTATATATATATGTATTTTTTTCTTTCTTTCCCCGAATAATTTTTCCACCATTTTCGTCATAGAGGAGCCACTCTCGAGGACGGATGATTTTAGGAGCGTGTACAAAACACGAAAAGCGAAACATATAACGATTTAAATAAATATAAACGATTGTAAATAATTGAACGGAGAGAAGAGACGAGGCGATTTTTTAGGCGTGACGAATGATTAGGAAAAAAAAAAAGGAAAAAGATTCAAAGATAAAAAAGAGAGCGCATTGTAAAACACATCGCAGTAGTGATCCACGCTACACGCTAAACGATATTACGCATGGCAGAACGAGTGAATATAATTATAAATATTTGATATTAGATAAACGAGGATAAGAAAAAAAAAGATGATGAAGAAAAATGACGCCCTAAACGCGAGCGATACACACCATATACATATATAAATATTATACATATATACATAGATATATATATATATATATACATATATATATATTATTATATCGAGGCGTACAAGCAGTATGTGCGTTTTCCAGCACAGATAGTTGGTATTTTGTGTAACAAAAAAAAAAGAAAAAATAAGAAAGAAACAAGAAACGAGAAGAAGAAGAAAAAGAAGAAGGGAGAAAAAATTTTTTGCGTTAAAAGCGAACCGGATGAACAATTGTTGGATATTTTCGCCGCGCCCTGTCCAGTCTGCGTGATTATTATTATTATTATTTTTATTATTATATCATTATTATATTCGAATTATTATGATTCTCTAATTATTATTCTATCATTATTAATATTATTATTATTATTATTATGTAGCATGATTTGCGTAGGAGAGGCGCGATGAAAAGATAATTTGTCAGCGCTGACAAGCGTCACTTTTCGTGTCGATCGTTCACGATGATCGAACCAGAGGACGTTTCCCAGACGTTTTCAGAGCAAACCGAAAATGCAGATTATTCCCCTCTCGCAACGAATATCCTCTTCTCATATTAACGAATGTCTCTGCCACGATCGATCGATCGATCGATCGAATCCATCGAAATTCGCCATTGACTTTTTTGCTCTCCGCCATCTTTGCCATTTGTGCAATTTCGATTTGCTCTTTTACAAGTGTCCTCGATTTCTACACGCTCCGCGAATATTTGCGATAATCTGTTCTAATAATAATACGTGTAACAACGTATGTACGTTTGTGTATGCGTGCGTGTGTGTGTATGTGTGTGTGTGTGTGTAAATTAATAATTGGCAATTAACGCTTTGAACGTTTAAGCTTTGCCATCGATTTGCCAGTGAAAGTATTTGTATTTGTGAAAAACTATTTGACGATTCTATTTCTTTTATTTTTAAATGTACGATAAAAAAAAATTTGGAAAAGAGGAAGAATTATAAGAGATAGTATTGGTGTCTATTTTAAAATTTATAAATTTATAAATTATTCGTCAATCTTTTCAAAGAATTCTAAAGAGCAAATCTTTAACTATGTCGCTTTAAATTTCTCATTTGACAATTATATCCCGATTGAGAAGGAATAAAAAAATAAGTATCTAAATTAAATATTAATTTCGAATCGACAACTATCCAAAAGCGTTGTTTGCCAAAAGAATCCAAAAACTTAAGAGAATCTGCGCGGAGCGTGTTAACTCGAGGGCGCCATCTACACAGCGAGAGAGAAGGTGGAACTAAAAGAGGGGGAAATGAAGTGAGGCTGTAAAAAGAAATTGTCGCGGTGGCCGTGCCAAACACGGCCGATTCTACTTGTATCATAATCTCTTACGATAGTGCGCTATAATTAAACAATAACGAAGAAAACAGTAACAACAATAAGATAACTCGTAATTTAAGGGAGCGTGAAGCGGAATGAAAGAGCGAGAGAGAATGCGAGCGGAAGAACGTATGTATGCCGATTAATCTCGTGCGACGAGCAAACCGATTTAGTGATCGATTGTGATCGCTAAGAGAAGCACCCTCGTAGCTACGAACGGGCTTTTCACGGCTTTCAGTCGCTGGTCTCGCGATTTTCCTTACTTCTGCTCAATCTGCTTGATCTCTCCAACGAAACAACAATATTCACCGGACGGATTTTCGAACGATTTAAAAAAGAAAAAAAAAAAAATAAGCAAAAAACGAGGAGAACCTGAAATGGTCTCCTCCCACTTTTGTGGTGGAAAATAGAGTTAGAGGAGAAGAAACATAGCGAAGAGGCGAAACAAAAGAGAACAAAATGGCGCGAGACCAGTGTCTGCGGCTAGCCCAAAGGATTTTTACCAAAACGACTCCGCGATTCGCGGAGTGGAAGCAGTTATATAAAAAAAAAAAAGAAAAAAAAATAGACGTAATTATTGAATTTCGTTTCGATTTTGTAAACGAAGTCGAATGCGCGCCCAGCCGGCGATTAACCGTGGCCTCCTCGAGGGCTCGGTTTTATGTCGAGGAAAATAAATAATATGGCGAGAAACGTGTGTTTTCGTCGGCTTTTCGCGGGTGGGTGACGAATTTTGTAAAACGCGGACGCGTCCCGCGAACGATCTCTGGCACGTCGAAAAATTTCTACGATCTCGTTGATTTTAAGCACGAAACATTTTAATTTTATATATATCTTATCTCCTTTTAATTCATCGAACATTGAGCTTCTTTTAATCGACTTGTCTATATATTTATATACGTGTATTGGCTGTTGATAAAATTACCTATATTTATTATTGTTTAAAACAAGTTCATCGTGTGAATCGGATGAATGATAAAAAGCGTGGTACATTTTCTTTAAATTTTATATTTTAAGAGACGAGTCTTATTTTTTTTTTAAATTGTTTCTTTTAAAAGTGTTATTTGAACAGAGATTTCTTGTGATCCTTCGAATTACAATGAATTGTATTATTTTTGAGGGATGTTTTTGTCGATGATTTATTATTTTTTTTTTTAATAACGTTTTTAATAACCTTTTTTTTTATTTGTGTTTTATTCAAGCGTGAGAAAGAAACATTCGACCAGTGATCGCTTGCCGACGCGTCATTCGGGACGTAATATGAAGGAATGCGTTGTATTATATATCGAGAAACCCTCTAAGTGTAAGAATAATAATGTATATATAATTATTATTATACCATAAAAACTTCGATTGATTGCACTCCGGGGAAAAGGAACTGTCTCCCGCCCCCAACGTCTATGAAGAAGGAACAAAAAGCGAAAAAATTGAAAAATTGAAACGCACGAAAATGAACGAAGACGAAGCAACAAATCTTCAAAAAGAAAGATTTAAAAAAAAAAAAAGAAAAAGAAAAAGAAACTGTTCTCAAAATGATTGATTTCAAAATGAAGAAACGAATAAGATGAAGAAGATGAGAAAAAAAGAAAAAGACGCTGCGTTTTTCGATCCAGATTCGTTTTGTTTTTTGTTGTTAGTTTGTACGCACTACGATTTATCGCAATTTATTGTATTATCGATGAAATACTGTAACAAAAATACTGTTAACTATTCTTAAAAAAATTAAAACTTTTGTAAACTGAGACCAACCGCGAATTTCTCACGATATACTCCTGAAACATAATTCCAACAAGGATTCATTAAGTTGTCGAGCAGCTTTCTGGTGTAAAAGGTAGGGATATAAAAGATAAAAACTCGAGAAATTGCACATTCATAAAGACATTTCATTTTTATATCATAATTGGATACATTTTACTTTCATATGTTTATTTTTATTTTCACACGATGCGTTATCACCATCAATGGGATATAAAGCAGTACAACAACTGCACACAGAAGCTACAATCGCACATTGACGTATTAAACATTTTTCTTTCACGGTACAAAAGCTTCGCAATTTATTCTTAAAAATATACGATAAAAAAAACCTCTGAATTCTTCGCGACAATTTTCATCAAAAAATAGCACCAGAGGATAAAGAGATTCATATTTTACAACGAGTTATATAAAATAGAGTTTAAAAATCCATGTTAAATTGATTCGCTTAAAAAGTAATGGATGGCATCGACGACGTTGCTCTATATAATAAGTCTACGACGAGCAACAAGCTAACGTAATAAAAAAAAAAATAAAATAAAAAAATAACTAGGGAACATCTTTTTGTCCAAAATCAATATGGCATTAGCTAAGTGACTAAACACAATGTTGCTAATAACAATCACATTGACGAGATTATCGATCTTCGCCACGAGATATACTGTCTGCCAAAGAGGAATTGAACGTGGAAAATTCTTTGATCCTTCTTTCCTGCTCAATTTCGACTTTTCGTCCTAGCAGACGGAACGGAGATTCCTGTATAAAAATATGAAAAATAAATTATTCGAAAAATTTTTTAACCTCTTTCATTTTGCGTCAAAAATTATGCAAATTAATTTGTTGAAACATAAAACAAAATCATTGTTCATTACAATACGTCACGTTAATCAAAAATTTGAAAAGCTTTTTAGAACTAAGAAAACATAAGTTCAAATTTCATTAAATTACACAAGATTCAATAAAATCCAATTTTCATACCTTCTTTTGCATATAACTGTGCAAATTGTAACCCATGTAGAAAGCAATCCTCTGCAGACTTAACAGAGACCTCAACCTCAAGCAAGGATCCGGTTGTAGCAGTCGTTTCAATAGATCCTTCGCAGCTGGTGAAATATTTTCCGCATTCGCTGGTAGAGTACCAGGTGGTTCGAAACTAGTATTAGTTCTGTTCTCTGGCAAAAGTTCACTGGATGCACTGGCCGGGTACTGCAACAAAAATACGGACAAGTGATATAATTAGCGAAAGATCGTTGCTTCGAGATACAACAATAGATCATAGACGCTAGAGATCCGTGTAGAAGAGTGTCGATGGTCGATCAGAAAGAAATAATCGTAGATAATCAAGGATTAATTCAAGGCTTCAAAAATCGTGGTAGTTTTATCGAGACATAAACATGCGATTAAGTTTGCCTCGATCGGTACATAGAGGCTCATTAAACACCGATCGTTTGATTGGATAGCATGAATTACATGTTCTAGGAAATTTGTGATCACGGATTGATCATTGGTAATCAATTTTGATTTACGATATAATCTCTTTCGCGTCGAAATATCGAAAAATAATATTGGAAAGATTAAGAGATATTCTAAGACATAACCTATAAACTTCATATGTCAAATCTTCTTTTAGAACTACTAATCTCCTAAAATTAGCTTCTCTAATCCACTATGTTTCTTCTTAAATATTATTTTTCTCCACTAACCACAGTTTGGCAATGTCCCAAAATAAACTTTGGTTTAGCGACCAATTAACAATCCACACCTGTCCCGACCGCATGAAACGTTCGAGCGCTCAAGGGCTCGGGCGACGTTCTTCACCGGCCGGTGCGGTGTCCATAAATATTTGTTTTTACGAGTGGAAGGTCGGTAGTCTAGAGAAGCTATTACCAATGTGGACTCTAGCCTGTCTAGGTGGTCGGTACGAACACTCGCCACTCCGCTTCGCGCAGGTACACACGCAGGGTCAACGGCCACTCACGACCCTCAACCTATTCGCTCGTTCATATCCCTCGAGCGTGTGCCACGACCTCGCGCCACGATCGTCTCTCCACGCGGATTTCTTTGTCTTTTATTCGCCATCTTTTGCTCGCAATCTTTCTCTTTCTTTTTCTTTTTTTTTTTTTTTTTTTACGAATCGAATTAGATTGATCGTTCTCCATTTTGTGTTGCATAAGTATCGAAGTTTGATTGACACTCGCGAAATTGAGTTTCGATTTGGGTTAGATTTAGCTTTTGGATTGGAAATATTAAACTGTATTGTATACTGGGTGTTCCACGTAACTTTATCTTCTCAAATGTTTCGCTTATTTTTGGAAATATTAAAAAATTTTTCAGATAAAAATTGGATGGTTTCGAATGGTGTATAAGATGATTAATTTTATAGACGGATATATAAAAATCATATGAAGATTAATTTTGTTTTTTTAATGCATAAGCAGATGCAGATACTTAACCATTTATAACAAAGAGTAATTAGTCATAGAAATTTAATTATTAATAAATATTTCGTAAACTAATTATTTCTCAACATATATCGCCAATATTTTTTTGTAAAAAATGTCAAAACTCATTTCATGAATTAAAAAACATATAATTCCATTTAAAAATAAAGTTAATTTTCATTAATTCTTTATGCGATTACCTATTATAAAAAACTTATTACTATCAAAGTTATTACTATAGTTTGAAACCATACAATTTTTATCTAAATTATTTATCATTTTTTATGAAAAATAAATGAAATATTCCAGATATAAAATTGAATTTTTATCACAAAAGATAAATATCTTTAGAATTAAGTAAACTGTTTAAAAAATGAGACAAAAACCTAAGAAAAAAAATAGCAGCTACAACAGTATACAGGTAAGTATCCAGGTAAGTATATAAAATTTCATAAAAATTCTTTTTTTCAATAATATTAGAAAATTTTCATGTGCCACTTTTTCCAAGATTATATTCTCCTGATACAAAGTTAGAAAATTCGCCAAAAAATTTTGACTTGTAATTTATAGAAAAATTTCACGTGCCACCTTCAATTATATTCTTCTAATACAAAATCGAAATTTTGGCAAAAATTTTT